AACAGTTTTCTGCAGCACTCTGCTAGTAGTTTCCTCCTATTTTCAAGTACTTTGGGTTTATTTATTATAATATCTACAGCAGTAGATTCATTATAAGTATTTCTTCTCGTAAATTCTGTAAGCTGATAACTGTCCACTTCCTGATAATGAGGAACATTGCTTACTCATTTTTACGTACCTGATGAGACAAACATTTCTGTAGCCATTCTACTCTTTCATCCACCACCATATTGTATTTGGAGTACTAACATGCCCTAACCAAGCCTGCCCACCATTTCCCACCTGTCCTCCTGCTTACCCCATGAGAAGCAATTATAATGATGGGCTCCAAAAGCCACTTGTAAGCATGAGGGCAATATGCCAGGGAGACAGAAGGTAGAGCTGGAAGAAGGTGACTTCAGGGCTATCCTACCAGTTTGAAGCTAACTAAATCTGGTCCCTGGTGATCATGCAAGAAAACCAAACACTCGTGGATACCACTGTTTTCCAGTACTCTATTACTAATAACTAAACACATTTCTACTGATTTACCCTGGTATTCCATAACTATTCAATAAAGTAGCTAATGAATGAGGCTTGTTAAAGACTACATAAGGAAGTTTTACAGGAATATTTACCCTATGGGCACATCATAGATACTGCTTGATTAACTAACATATGTGTCTCTTTGGCTCCATGCAGAAAAGGTCATAATGGAGATCATTCTATAGCTAGAAAGAAAATGGCTCAGAAGACAGTGTCCATTCTTACAAGTACTGACGTACTCTACCTGAAAAGTAAGATTCTTCTGAATCTCTTTATAATTTTCACGGGAATTTCACTGGAAGGACAAACTATGCAATGTCAAGAGAAAGAATGTTCTTAAATACTTCTGAAAACAAACAGTACTTCAGTAAGTTAAGAAATGCTGCCACCATGTGGCACTTACTCTTTTATAAATGGAATTTTTATAAAGAAAAGAGAATCCATTGCCATTCACATTAAATCTTTTTAATATATAAACAACTTTAGTTTTTAACTGCTAGCCCATTTTTTCCTGATGAGAGCTTCACCTGAATAGTACTTCCTTAACATTGCTGCCTGTCCAGTCCAGTAAGTTTTCCTGGGAAAGGCCACTTCTATTAACATGGGGCAACAGTGGGACAGAAGTATAAATATTGAAAGTTAAGTACTCAGAGCTGAAATCTCTAAAATACTTTCAACTTTTCCCATCTAATAGGAAGGGAAATGGTATAGGGTAACATTCAGAAAAGGGTACTAATAAGCTTGATGTATAGGAAAGTTCTGCCAATTGTGGAGATCATAGAGTAAAAACAGTGAAGGGAGGCTCGGTAGTTAACATCTCAGTCACAGAAACATCTTTAGTTACTGCTTTACATAAATAAACATTTCAATACATATTTGCTATTGTTATTTTCATACAAAGCCTTACTACCTAACTCATTTTTGCTATTGTTCTTTTTAGACAAAGCCTTATACGTAACCCAGGCTACACTGCCCCTCTTGCCCCCATCTCCCCAGTGCTCCCATGCCCAGCTGACCAATACATATTATTTGAGTCTATATAGTTAGATGGAGTCTATCATGCCCAATGTGAAAATTTTATTTATTTACTAAACATTTTCTAAGATAATGCTTATGTAATTTGTTGAGATAATATTTTACCTAGAGATAAAAAAAACTGAACCCAAACTCATAATTATTGCAAATTCTGACTTATTAAACTTTTATTTGCTTGTATTTACTGCCACCTTTCTTAATAATAACTGTTTAATGCCTATATACCATGAAATAAAATGTCAGTCCTCATAAAGCTCAAAAACCATATGGTTACTGTTCTTGCTTTAATGATGAGGAAACTGAGCCTTGCATAGCCAGTAATCATGCCAAATTAGAGGTGCCAGGACTTAAAAACATGTCAAGTACTGAGGCCTGTGTTTTTCATACCTTTCTGTATTGCCTCCTTTCCAAAAATATTGTTGGAAGGCTTAATGGTGTAGCAATGCAGAAAATATTTCAATTCTCATTTTCTCTTGGCAATTATCTTTTATCTCATTTATGAGGTTTCTTCAAGCAGGAAGCCACCTTGAATGTAACATACTCAAAAGCATAAAAGGAAAACTTACTTTATCATCATTTTTGAAAATCAATTTCTCAGTATAATGTGTTTATAAAATCCAACTATAATATTTAAAGAATGCCATTGTATCTATATAATTACACTTGTATTCTAGGGATGACTCAGCCAGAAGTTAGCCATCTGACTTACTGTGTTTGTTCTCTGCACTCAGTCTCAAAAAAGAAAGGGGGTTGAAATAACCCAACTTTAATTCCAAAATCCTACGCTTCTCTTAATATAAACTGGATCTTTGGAAGTATATTCATGAATATTGTTTCAATAAAAACAAACACCTGGGAATTTCAAGTTGACCACACTAACAGAAATGGGCAGTAGATGTCAGAAAAATCTAACTTTTAATCCAGCTCTGCTACTTATCTCTTGAATCATTAAACATCTACAATACCAGACACTGTTTTGGGCATTTTTACCACAGAGTATGAAAGACAATCTCTACTGTCAATAAACAAGTAAGTAACAAGAACACTATAAGTAGTCTTAAGTACTTGTGGAGTACTTCCAAATGGCCTCCTCTAAGATCCCCAGGATGCACATACACCTTTTCCTAGTGAATTCAGCCAACATCTAATCTAGGTGTGCAGTGATTCTAAGGATGTAGTCAAGTGACTTTTAGAAATACAGATTATTTTGAAAGGAATTGTCTATAGGGAGCCTGATTAGTCAGGAGAGTCTGAGGAGCTCTCTTCTGTCCAGAAAGCTCTGAAGTAGAAATGCACATGAAGAATGGAGTTTCTCCATTCTGGCTGTGAGGACAGAAGGAGCCTCATGACAAGGATTGTGGGTGTCCCCTGGAAGCTGAAAGTGGCTTCTACAGTTGAGGAACTGAATCTTGCCATAACCATGTAAGTTTGGAAGAGGACCTTGAGCCCTACATGGCCAACACCTTGATTTTAGTTTTGTGAGATCCTGAGGTAAAGTCCTAGTTATGCTGTGCCTAGACTTCTGACGTACAGAACTTTGAGCTAATAAATGAGTACTGTTGTAAGATATAAAATGTGTGGTGATTTATTACACGGCATTAGAAAAGAAATATAGTTCTATACAGAGCATCACAGAGGAGAACATAATTAAATGTACTGGTGACTATGTACTTACCAGAAATAGTTTGTTTAATGCTATATATAGCTCTATTGTGAGTACTCTGTACTTTAGCATTTCTGTAGAATTAAAGGATTAAAACACTTTTAATTAATCCTTTAATAACTAGAACTATTTCTGGTAAGTACATAGTCACCAATACATTTAATTATGTTCTCTAACCCCTGCTTTCACTGTATTTATTGTTGGTATAAGTTGTGAAGGGGAAGGGCAAAAACAAATCATTTAACTAGGAATACAGGTGGACCCATTGCAACAATGAGATGTACAAGTCCTTCTGTTGAAAAACGAACTTTACAACTTTGGTGGGGGGGGAGGGCGAGGATCGGGTGGAGGGAGGTGGGGAGAGTATGGGAAGGGATGAGAAGGGGAAACAAAGAGGAGGCAACAATGCTTGATAAGAAATATACTTGTTATCTTGCCCATGTAATACCTCTGTACGGTATTCTCACAATAAAAAAAAAAAGGTTTACACATCCTCTTTGGGTGAAGGCTTATTTGAAAATAGAACCTCAGGGCTTGGAATGTGGCTTAGTGGTAGAGTACTTGCCTAGCTTGCATGAAGCCCTCAGAAAAAGCTAGAAGTGGCGCCGTGGCTCAAGTGGTAGAGTGCTAGCCTTGAGCAAAGTAAGTTCAGGAAAAGTACCCAGGCCCTGAGTTCAAGCTTCAGGATTGGAAAAAAAAAAAAAAAAAGGTAAGAAAGAAGAAAACACAGAACCTCATTCTGCTCAAAATTACTAAACTGTGTAATACTATTTACCACCAGTAACTTGGAAAGTTCCTACACAATGCAGAAGAAACTATTATACATGTACAAAGCCAGAGTAAGATCAAAGAGGATTGCATGCTGCAGAACATAGTATGCAAGGTAAGTAGTGGCAGAGAGCAGACGTGAAAGGTAGGGGCTGTTCACAGGGTTATGTTTAGACCTTACCTTATAAGATATTCTGTAAGGCTTCAAGGTTAAAAACTGATCTGGCTTAGGCAATAGAAGAGGCACAGTGGGAAGAAGAAATAGAAATCCCCAGATGAGGGATCATCTAGCAGACTTGGTCAGTAAATGAGAGCCTTAAGGAGATGGAATGGCCAAGTTTCAACTTGAGTGCTTGAGTGAGTACAGATGCTCTAACAAACCATAGAGAAAATAAGTCTGGAATATTCATACCCCTTAGGCCCTAAAACTGCTCTCCCCGCCCGCCCCCACCCATCTTATTTCATAAACCAAAAACAAGCAGCAGCAGCAATAGCCACAGCCACAAAAAAAAGTGTGGCTGGGTGCATAGTTATTTAGAAGGCTGACGTCTGAGGATTAAGGTTTAAAGCCAGCCTGGGCAGGAGTATCCCTGAGGTTTTTCTCTCTAACTAATCAGCAAAAAGCCAGAAGCAGAGCAGAACTGTGGCTACAGTGGTAGAACACTAGCCTTGAGCTAAAAAAGCTCAGGGGAAGCACCCAGGCCCTGAGTTCAAGCTCAGGATGGGCAAACAAACAACAGAACAGCAAAAACCTCACTTGTGATCAACAGATACTAGACTAAGAACCAGAATTTGAACTGAAGTGTCCTGCTATCTGGTTTTCCTCTTATCCTATTAAGAATAAATGCTTTTACCTCTTCATAATTTTTACTTTGTGTACTTTACAAACACTGAGATGAAACCAGATTTGAAAACTGATTTTTACCTTCTGTATATTAGCAGAATATATGTGTGTGTGTATATACATATATATGGCAGAGTTTTTATAAAATAAATTTTAAGTACTCACTTCAAATTCTTTTACAAAATAACGAGTTTCACCTTGAATAACTGGTCTGTGATCCAAAAGCCTTGAATGAATTTCTCCAAGATCTGGAAAGATACAATGAAATCTAGGGTTAATCCATGTTGAAAGTCATAATTACTAGCTTGTTTTATTCTTTCCCTTCCTCCTGAAAACTAAAATCCAGTTTAGACCACCGATGAGGAAGAAATCACATACACTGCCAATGAATGTGTAATTAGTATTAGTATAACTATTTTTGATGCAGTATGCAATCAAACTGAAGACATATATATACACCTAATAATTTATATGCCTAATAATTTCTTGCCTTGATTTATAACCTAGAAATGAAGGTAAGACCCCTGTAAATTTTTCCTTAAGTATGAATAGAATGTCAAATTAAAATAAATGCCCTAAACACATTCATACAGTGGAATACTACAAATCAGAGAGTAAAAATGAATTCACTAGTTATACTTATCAACACAGATAAATTTCAGAGTGTCAAATAAAAAAGCAAGTTTCAGAAGAATTAAAGCCATATATTTTAAAGATACACTTCCTATTGAAATACATAGAGAAGCAATAAAAACATAAAGAAATTCAAAAGAATAATAAACATCAAATTCAGGATCCTGGTTACTAAGAAGGGGGGCAATGGATAAAATTGGAAAAAAGTGCAGAGCGAAGCTTTTAATGATTTATTAAGGTAGTTGATGAGTGTTCATGAAGGTTATCTTTACTTCTTGATAGGTCCAAAACAGTTAAGGAAAAAAAATTTTCTTGATTTTAACTGGTTTAATTTAATTTCAACTAGTTCAAATTTTGAGGTAAACCCACCTCAAAATTTCTGCAGAAATCAAATAAAAACATGTATCATTCATTGGAAATCTGTTCCTCCAAAGTTTATGTTTTTACACATGAAACAGAGAATTTTTTTCTTTTCTTTTCTTTTTTTTTTTTTTGCTAGTCGTACAGCTTGAACTCAGGACCTGGGCACTATCTTTGAGCTACTTTTACTCAGGGCTAGTATTCTACCACTTGAGCCACAGCTCTACTCACAGCATTTTTTTTTGAGGGGGGGGGAAGCGAGTTGAGGTCATAAGAGTTAAGACTCTCACTGACTTTTCCTGACTGGGCTAGCTTTGAACCATGGTCCCCAGATCTCAGTCTCCTGAGCAGCTAGAATTACAGGTATGAGCCACCAGTGCCTGGCTTTATTTTATTTATTTATTTATTTTTGGCTTTTTAAATTGGAGATAAAGAGTCTCAGGGACTTTACCTGCCTAAGCTAGCTTTGGGATATGATGCTCAGATCTTGGCCTTCTGAGTAGCTAGGACTACTGTACAAGTGACCAGCTTCATTCAATTTTAGTAAATTTCAAGGTATGTCTTGATAATATGCTAAAGTAGAAAAATGTAAATAGGACTATATTTTCTTAAATCCTTCAATAACTTACTACCCAGATTGTTTTTGTAAGATACAAGGCTTCCCTTTCCCTCAGACCTCTGGGAGTCTTTACTAACAGGAGTTATAAACACTCAAGCAAGACCTAGTATCTGTGCAAGTTTATAGACTTTATCAGAGCACAGAAGCTACTTTGCAAAGAATATCTCTTTACATCTCAAGGATCACATGAGTCTTTGTAGTGTAACTGGCCAAAGGATATAGTCTGAACTTCAACCTGACATTCCCCGTGACTGGCTCCAGCCTCATTCTCCATGTCAGCAATTATGAAGCATTTGCTGTTTTCCAAACATACTATGCTGCCTGAAGTGTCCTTACTAGAGCTCACACTACTGTCACTGCCTGGAACTCTTCTCCACCAACCCTACGTTATTTAATCCCCTCTTTCTTCAAAACTGCTTTAATACACTCTTCTTTGAAATCACCATCCACTGCTTCCAGCTTCCTCTGTGATAGAATCTCTTTCCCTTGCTTTGGAAAGAGGAGTGTGTCCATTTTTATTTCATGGATTGTCCTCTATGCTCCCAAATCACTTGTGGCATCTTCTTTAATCACATCCTTTATGACAGAGCCCTCAATTACCTCTTCCTCAGTGTCTCAGAGACCACATTGTACATGTTATTTTTAGGTGATATAGGGTAAAAAAGTATTTTTCTATATGGTTGAGGAGTGAAGGTTTGCTGATTTGAAGACATCTATGAGGCCAGGTTTAAGAGAAAGTCACAGAAGCTCTGGAGAGAGAATTCAGTTCTGCATAGAAGTAGATAAGGATCACTTCTAAAACCCCAGTTGTGCTCTGAAATTTAAGACAGGAAAAATACACACACACACACACACACACACACACACACACACACACGGGGGAAAAGATTGTGAAGGACATATTACCATAGAAATAGTTTCATTATAAAGATAAGACAAGCCTACTAACAATAATTCATTTGGAGGAGCTCCAAATATTACACATAAATTCTATTTTAATAGTAGAAGATAAGCTACAGATTTTCACAAATATCCATCTCTAGTCATGCTACATTCATTCTTTTGTTGTTTGACAAACAACATAATTAAAATATAAACTTTTCTTCCCTAAATGTTCAAAATCTAAAGTGAGAGGCCTTTCACAAAATATACAAGTAAGCCCTTTAATGGGAAGTCAGTGTGATTACTGGACATGAAGAAACAGTGGACTGCAGACCCCTCATTATCCTATAAAGAGAAAATTAGGTCCCGGTGGCTCACACCTATAATCCTAGCTATTCAAAAGGCTGAGATCTGTAGATCCCAGTGCCAAGCCAGGCCTGGCAGGAGAAAGATGAAGAAAAAGGAGGGAGGGAGAAACAGAAGGAGACAGGGAGAAAGAGACAGAGGGAGGAAGGGAGGGGGGAGAAAGGGAGAGAGGGAAAGGGAGAGAAGAAAAATTTTCTTTTGATGTTGACTGCAGAAACTTTTCAATAAAATATGTCAATCTCTGCCTATCATGGAAAACAACTTAGTAAATAATATTTTTCTTGATAGTACTTTGATATAGGTTGGATGTTAAATATTGCCTCCTAAGTCTTAAAACTCCTGGGAGGTGGTAGACTCTATAGCAAGTGGGACTTGAAGTCATTAGGTCTTCAGGGGCACACTCTCAAAAAGCATTAGAGGCCTACTGGCCCTCTGTCTGCTCATTCTGCTTCCTGGCTCATGACGTGAGTTCCCTCTGTACTGTACTACTGCAGTTGTTGCGAGAGGCCCAGAGAAATGAGCCACCTGATTGTGAACTGGAATCTCCAGAACCATGAGTCCTCCTTTATAAATTGTCTCAACTATTTTGTTATTGTAACAGAAACTTAAATGTACATCTACATTATCGCCACACAAATGATGTTCTCTTACATTGGCTATTTCACAGATAGTAACACCTCTCTATAACCCATGTCATTTACTCACAGTTCTCATTAATTACAATTGCTATATTTTACAGTGTTTTCCAAGAATGTTTAACTATAGCTGAACTATATGCTCATACAGAAATGCCACTTGTGTCACACACTTCCTTAACTAGCTTCTTTGTCTTACTAGAGTTGAAAACCTGCTCTTCCACAGAACTCTGTTCCTCTGTAACACCTAACAGATACTTTAAAAATTCTTTAGTAGCCTCCTTATACTCAGAACCCAGCCAGCACTAACTGAGGTCTTCACATTGACCCTGGCAACCTGACCATGCCTTCCTTGGCTTTCCACTACACAATACTCTCCTTTGGTTTTCCTTTTCTAAAATAAGCTCATGTCATGAATATACAAACAGCCTCTTTCCCAGTGTCCTATGACGACTGTATCACACAGTACAAACACTATTCTAGCATTTTCCAGAGCAGTCTCTCATTCATATTGATGATTTTCTTCTTCACTGTAGACACACAAATATTGAACTGACCACCAAAAGCACCAAAGCTCATGCTGGCACAGTTGTATAACATAGGTATTTTCTTTCACCAAGTACATATCTACTTCCTGCTCTTAGGACACTACACAGCATTTCAGTACCATGCTCAGGATATTCTTCCTTTTAACAGACACAAAATAATTACACATATTTATGAGATGCAGTGTGACTATAATCAATACATACATATAATAATATGTAATCAGATCAGGTAGCATTTCTCTGACTACACACTATCATTTCTTTGTTTTGAGAACATGAAAAAAGTTCTCTATTAGGTATTTCTAGATATTTAATCAATTTCTAATATTTGGAGTTATTCCTACAACCCAAATTTATAATAACTTCCTCTCTCCATTCCTGGGGACTATTTTAAACAGCAAAGTCAGTGACAATAAGCCTTTCACTTCATGAAAAACATGTCACTAATATAGAAACTGAAAAGGATGCCCATAAAATGAGAGGTGAGACAAAGAAGCATGTACTCCTTGTCTGACCTCAGATGGGAATGTGCAAGTCAGGTGTCTCAAACATCCTTGTACTGGCACATGTGCAAATGACTACCACCACTACCGAATCTGGGCTTATAAAGGCATTTTAGTGAATAAGTGAATCCACAACTCCAAATCTCCAGGCAAGGAAGGTAACCAGACACCCCATTCCCCAGGAAGCCATACCAGTTTTCATTCTACTCCTCCTGACACCCAGCCATGTGCCAGACACTTCAAAGACCAAGGGTATAAATATTAAAATGAACTATTTACATGCTCACTGAACCATGGCAAATATTCAGCAAATATCTGTTTATGCTTCAAGCCTTAAGATAAACTAAAAAGTATTTTAAAAATGAAAAGAATAACTAATTTCAGCAGGGCAGTTACATAGGAGACTAAGATTGGGAGGATCACAGCTCCAGGACAGCTAGAGCTAAAGGTTTGCTAGATCTCATCTCAAAGGCTGCGCATGGTGGTGCATGATCTGTCATCCCATTGACCATGAGAAAGAAGGCTCATGGTGCAAGCCAGCCCAAGCATAAAGCAAGCCCTACCTCAAAAGCAGCCATGGCAGAAAAGGCTGGAGGAGTGGCCCAAGGAGTAAAAGATGTACCTAGCAAATGCAAAACCCCAAGTTCAAATTCCAGGACTTAAAGAAAAGAGTTGAACTCATAAAAGAAACCAATAGATGCCTGGGGCCAGGGGCTCACACCTGTAATCCTAGCCAAAGGCTGTGATCTGAGAATCATAGTTCAAAGCCAGGCAGGCCAGGAAAGTCCATGAGACTCTTCTCCAATTAACCACCAATAAAAGCTGGAAATAGAGCTGTGGCTCAAAGTGGTAGAGCACTAGGCATGAGTATGAATGCTCACAGACCGCACTCATGCAGGACAGGCACCAAAAAATAGAAAAGAAAAGAAACCAGTAGTGCTGAGGATAGCTCTTCCCTAGCATATGTGAGGCTCTGGGTTCAATCCCCAGCATAGGAAGTGGGAGAACCAAAGGTGCTCACTTACAACTTAATTTCAGATTAACTTGAAAAACATCCATGGAATTCCCTCTTTTTTTCTTGTCTCTCAACTTTCATTTTTAACTATACCCACCACAGTTTTATTGAAGAGTATAAGCTAAAAAAAAAAAAAAACTATTCATTTAAGGTGCACAAAGTGATGTTTTATAACTTATTTAAATTGTTATTGCTGAAAAACATTAACTCTTTTCTTGGACCCACAATTAACAAAAAGCAGAAGAAAGGCTTTCCATCCCTGCCTCCATGTTGTATCTGTGTTCTTTGCTCTGAGCCGGTCTCTCTGCAGATGCCTTGCAGATACCATGGAATCCAGAAAGAATGGGTTTATCAAGTACATGTTTTTAGGGAGGAACACAGGAGAATGTGTCCAAGGAAAGGCACAGCAGAACTTCCTTAGACTACCCACAAGCCAACAATGCCTAGTTTACCTTGATTGGGAAAGACTTCAAAAACAGAACTCCAGCCCAGCTAAACTGGACTGATAACTGTACCTCTTACCTCTGCCCCCAATTCTATTTAACCAAAATCTCCTTTATCTGCCCTTTGCAGATAATTTGGGGTATACAGAAAATTGGCCTGATATGTGGAACCCCGGGATTCTGGGTCTGAGGCCTAAAATTCCAGTTTCTGCTTGATAGATGTATGTATTATAGCATAACTACAATTCAGCTAATTAGCATGTTGCCTGCTTCATATACATAGTCACTATTCTCCATCATGAGAACACAAGATCAACTGGCTTAACAATTTTAAGTGTTTATATTTGGGGGGGGGCATTCTTAAAATTCTATCACTCATTAGACTGAGAAAGGAGGATCCAGGGTTTGAGACCAACTGGGTTACATAATAAGTTCAAGGCTTCCTAAGCATCATATCAAGACCCTGTCAAAAAGGAAAATAAAAAAAGTACTATCTATCTCAAAATAAAAAAGCTTCTGTAGAACAAAGGACACCATCAACAGAATAAAAAGCAACCCACAAAATAGAAGAAATATTTACAAAGTCCTTTTCAGGGGAATTGAGACCAACATTACAAAGAACTACATACAGTACAACAAGGAAGCAGCTTGATAAAGAAACGAGCAAGCTGGATGCTGGTGGCTCACACCTGTAATCCTAGCTACTCAAGAAGCTGAGATCTGAGCATCATGGTTCAAAGCCAGCCCAAGCAGGAACATCCATGAGATTCTAATTTCCAATTAACCACCAGAAAACCAGAAGTGACTCAAGTGGTAGAGTGCTAGCCTTAAGCTGAAGAGCTTAGGGACAGAGCCCAGGCCCAGAGTTCAAGACCCACAATTGACGAAAAAAAAAAAAAAAGCAAAAGATTATAGATACTTCTCTAAAGACTTGCAAATGGCCAACACAAACATGAAAAGATGATTAAGATCACTAACTATGGGGGAAGTACAAATCAAAACCACAAAGAGAGACCATTTCACTTCCATTAGGATGGCTAATGCCAAGAAAATAGCAAGTGTTGGTGGGGATGTGGAGAAACTAGAAACTCTGTACTGCTAGGGAGAATGGAAAATGGTGCATCCAATCTGGAATGAGGAATGCTGATTCCTCAAGAAAGTTAAAAATAAGATCGTCATATAATCCTGCAATTTGGATACATACCCCACAGTACTAAAAAATAAGGCCTCAAAAGACATTTGTATATTCATGTTCATAGCTGCATTATTTACAATACTCAAGGAAAGAAGCTACCCAAGGGTCTATGGACAAGTTAAACAGTGTGATGTACACATACAACGGATTACTTCTAAGCTTTAAAAAGGAAGAAGTTAGCCGAACCCAGTGGTTCCCACCTGTAATTCTAGCTACTCAGGAGGCTGAGGTCTGAGGATCTTGGATAGATGCCAGCTCAAGCAGTAAAGCTCTTTAGAATCTTATTTCCAATTACCCACCAAAAAAGCCAGAACTGGAGCTGTGCCTCAAGTGGTAGAATGATAGCCTTGAGTACAGAAGCTCAAGAACAGCACCCAGGCCCAGAGTTCAAGACCCAAGACTGGCACAAAAATAAAAATGTTTTAAAAGAATATTGTTACATGCTAGAGCATGAATGTACACTGAAGATATCACTGAAAAGCCAGCTACCAGAAAAGGTACTAATCACAAGGTACCAGAAGCAGTCAGATTCCTAGACAGAAGTAGGGATCTGGTGGGTGATAGAGTGGGTTGCAATGGGCAAAGAATGTAAAGTTCAATAGAAAGCTTGAGTTGGGTAAGATGGAAGAATTCTTGGATGGACCGAGATAATGAGGACACAACAATGTGAATCTATTGTTATACTAAGTTATTAAAGCCACTAAAATACGGCATACTTGAAAACACTTAAGGTGGTAAATACATTTTTCTGCTGTAGTGGGGGTTTTGTAGTGACCACTTGAGCCACACCTCTACAGCCTTTTTTGCTCTGTTAATTTTTAGATATTGTTTGGCTTTTGCCTAGGGTCACCTGAGATAGATCCTCCTCATCCTCCCCAGTAGTGGAGATAACACGAAGGAGACACCCTGCCCCATTTAAGATGATAAATTTTTAATGTTTATTTTTACCACAGTTATAAAAACGATTTAAATTCTTCACTGGGTGTACATATGAACAATCCTAATTTAGTTGTAATACCCACGCAACGTTTCTGGCCTCCTAATTAGACTTACAGGACAATTTTAAACACAGCCAGCTATGCTGGGGCTGCCTACCAATCTGATAAATAACACTAAAACGAAGCAGGCACCAACCAAAGGATACCATTCCCTAATAGTACCAAAAGGGTGTGGGAGGGTTAACAGCTTCCACACTGAACAAGGGTGAAGGTGGACAGGTTTAGCACTGTATTCAAGGTGGTTGGAGATGAACTAGGCAGGTTCAGCGGGGATTTGGTGAATTCACGCCTGTAACCCTGGCTAGTCAAGAGGCTGGGCTGAGATCGGAGGCTCCGCGGTTCGAATCCAGCCTAGGCAGGAAAATCTGTGAGATTCGTTATCTCCCATGAACTACCCAAAAGCCAGAACTGGGGCTGTGGCTTAAGTGGTAGAGGGCTAGCCTGGAGCACCGGGCCCAGGCACCGGACACAAGGCAGTTTCCCTAAGGAAACAGGCTCCCTGTGAGCTTCAGGAACTAAACCTACTTGAAGTTCTGTGGAGATCTGGGCTGTGGCCTGCTCTGAGCTCAAAACTAGACAATCGGGCATCTGCAGGGGGAGGGAGGGGGCTTTCCTCACCCTAAAAGCTAAGTCTGGCAGTCCTGGCAGGACCCAGGGACAGACGAGGTCAGGAGAACGGAAGCCCCGGGGCTCCGCGACCCCCAGGGCTGGGGCCTCCCGCGGAGGTCCAGGGCTACGGGCGGGTCTGGTGGTTGGGCCCCGGAGACGGGCCCAATGGGGGAGGTGAGGAACGGACCCGGGAAGCGGCCCAGGAAAGCTCAAGGCTAAAGAGGAACAGAATCCGGAACTAGAGGAGGGAAGGCGGAAACCGGGCGGGGGGGACGGCCACGCCCCCTCCCACTCCACGCACTCCCCCAGTCCGGCTCCGCCTGAGGCGAGGCCCAGGTCAGAGGTCGTCGCCTGGGAGGTGGGGCTACGCTGGAATTCCCCCGGGGAACGACGGCCCTGCCACTCCGTACCCTTAATAATGAGATGTGCTGAGCCCGCAGTCCCCAGCGAGTCCCTCTTCTTGCCGCTGCCGCCACCCGTGAGGGTCTCACGACCCACAGGGGCCTCCGTCCCGCCGCCACTCATCCCGACCAGCTCCGCCCACCGCCTTGCCGCGCCTGCGCAAACTGTGTGGCACGCTTTGTAGGCGTGAGGCGTTGCGTCATCACAAGGCGTCTACTCGGCCGGCAGTTCTCGGAAGGTGCGGTGGTGTAGCCGATGTCGCCATGTTGGATTAGGGCAGATGTTCCCAGAGACGAAAACTTCTGAAAAATAACTGTCCGTTATTCCACCCTAAACCTGCTAGAGCTCATTATGGCTTAGAGAGACTGAAGGAAGAGGTAAAGGAGTATTACTAGTATAAATATTTTATTAAATATGTATTTATGTATAAGACATAGGTATTTAAATAGTATATTTATTATTTTAGAAATATAATAGAATTAAAGATTAGGTAACTTTTTTTTTTTTTTGAGAAATGCACCCGTGCGGTAGCCCAGGTCGGCTTCAAACTCGTGGTGCTCCTGCCTCGGGATGACAGCCACACAGCACCACACTTGCAGAAAACTACTCTTCAGATTCACTTGTGTCCATGTGAAGGGGAAAAAAAAGTACCTGCTGACCTTTGTACTTATAAAATTTCCACCTTATATTCACTAATAAAACACATGTGATTGCAGAACACTGCTTTGCTAGACTGTCATGGAGAGACAACAACAGGGATGCCATATGGAGTTTTAGTAAACTCCATAACTTCATCTTGTGGTTTAACACATCTTCATCCTCTGCAGGGAACCATGGGCTCCTTTACCTCCTATGTGCATGCAATGTGTTAAGACTCATCTCTGATCTCTCTTTTTTTATCTTCTGAAGAAGGACTTTATAATAAAGAGTCTCCAAATGAAAGGATGGAGGAAGGTGCAGCACTCCTGACTGCCTACCCCTAACATGGTCAGGAGAGACCTTCCTGATGGCAGTTTTGTCCCCAGGTCTAAAATGAGGAGACAGATGGAGTAGAGTGGGGTGGGATGGGTGAAGAAGGAACTTGGAGATTTCTAGCAGAGGAGATAAATCCAAAGGTAAAGAAGCATATAACAGATGAGTTAATAAATACAATGTAAGGTTGGCTAATTCCAAATAGGCCTGACTTCCAACCTTTCTAGTCCTACTTTTGTTTTATTATCAATTTCTAGAAAACAAATTTTCATTTTGCCACTTATTCCTCTTACTTCTGAGCACTTTACTCATTGAAGCTTTTTTTTTTTGTCTTTTTAAATCTAAATCTACCATACGCTTGTCTTCTTAGTGTTTTTGAACCACTGAAAAATCTGAGAAGGCTGACTATCATACAGTAAGGTTGCCTACATTAATATGGATTTAAAAAATACATATTCTGGGTTCTGCCTCAAAAGTTTGCCAAGGTACTCTGGCCAAGTGTCAGTAACTAATTCTTGTAATTCTACCTACGCAGGAGGCTGAGATCTGAGGAGTGAGGTTCAAAATGAGCCTGGGCAGAATACTTATATGACAGTTAATCAGAGCCTAATACATAGTACATGGCTTAGAAATATCTTTATTATAATGGCTTCCCTAACTGCTTTTTAAGTGCTGTTTATTCAAGACATGAGAAACAAAGGACCTCCACTCATCTGGTCGAATCATTACTAAATGACCCCATGCTGCTGATCACATATATGGTATATATGTGCACATTGGAGGGAAACTAGGAGGACACAGAGCTAGAGGGAAACAAGGGAAAACATACAACATTGGGACCCATCAGCTGCACTGGACATTGATCAAAACGAACTAAGCAACCCAGTGGCAATGATGGGAGGGAGGGAATGAGTGGAAAAGAGGGAACAGCTGACACTATGCAAAAGGAAAGGGATGTACATATCACCCAATGTGAAAGAAAGAACTGTATAGTCAAAACCCATAGAACTCATAAACTTTATAGACCACAATAGACAATTTGCCCCATGAAGGTTAGAATGTGTTTGTGACTTTAACTAAGCATCACTATCCCACAATACTATGAAATATGTGAAATTATGCAATCACTTAATCACAATAAAAATTTGCAAAAAATAATAAAGTGCTGTTTATTGTGCTCCAATTCTCTAATACACTCTTACCACTAAAAATCACCACTAAAATATCTTCTACTTGTTTAGCACGTTACCTGTGTGAATTTTCCCACATTTTCATTAGTACATATTATTAATTATACTTGTTTAGCACTTTAAATTTATCATTCATCACATACTATGTATCATCCTCCCAATCTAACTGAGAATCCAACTAAAGTGGGTCAATTGCAGATTTTTCCTCAATCAAAATATAAGTAATCTTTTTTGTAAAATGATATATTTGCATAGAAACTTTGCACATCTTAACTGTAACCTCTCTGTACATCACCCTTACAATAAATATTTTTTAAAATGCTGAACAAAAACTTTGCAAAACTTTTTGTAGACTTGAAATACTCTCTAGATTGCCTATAGTTACTTACAAATATAAATACCATGCCAGTAGTTATACTTTATTGTTTGGTGAATAATAAGGAAAAATATCTATAAATACTAAGTACAAGTGAAACCATAAATCTAACTAGAAGACAACAATGTGCGATGTAATTTCGTATTTATTTTTGGGACTGGGTTTTTTTTTGGGGGGGTCCGGTCATGAGGCCTGAACTCTTGGCCTGGACGCTGTCCCTCAGCTCTTCAGCTCAAGGCTAGTGCTCTACCACTTGAGCTACAGTGCCACTTCCAGCTTTTTTTCTTTTTGCTATGTGATGCTGAGGAATCGAACCCAGGGCCTCATGCATGCAAGGCAAGCGCTCTACCACTGAGCCACCTTCCCAGCCCAGGTACTGGGGTTTGAACTCACTGTCTTGCACTCATTCAGCTTTCTTGCTCATGGATGGCCCTCTGCTACTTGAGCCACACACCTAGCCCAGCTTTTTGCTGGTTAATTAGAGATTAAGTCTATCAAACTTTTCTGTCAGGGCTGGCTTTGAGCTGTCATCTTGACTCCTGCCTTCCTGAGTAGCTAGGAATTACAAGTATGAACCTCTAACACCTGGCCTAAATATGTAATTTTTTCAGTCAGTCCTGGAGGTGTGAAGACAGATTTACCAGGACCTATCAGCCCAGCTATCAGTCAGCTGAATGTAGTCACATGAATGTGGTTCCAGAAACCCAATGTTGTCAGACCTGTGTGTGTGTGTGTGTATGTGTATTTCTCAGATCTCACCCTCCTGTGTAGCTAAGATTACAGGTGTGAGTCACTCTATATTTACCCTATTTGTTAATAAGATAGTACTCTAATAAGAACCAAGGTTAGAACTCTGATCATAATTGATGATGATTTATCTCAGTATGGCAAAGTCAATTAGCAGGAGGGAGAAGGCCTTCCTACTAGGTCAAGATTGTGCTAGACATATTCTTGACTCTTGTTAAACATTCCCTTTATGGAATAGTTTTCTTGCTCCCTCTGCCTGTTCACTGCAGTAAGCTTAAATAGTATGATAAGGAATTTGACTAGCCTTTCTCCCTGGCTCCTAAAGGGTAAACTCTAAAGTCAATTCTTTTTGGATTCCCCAAGTAATAAGAACAGTGTTATTAACAATGTGCCCAAGACCACATCAGAGTGCATGCTAGAAAGGTGACTCTGGATGGGTTCCAAGATAGTTTCAGGTTATTTGGAGAACCCCTTGTGACTAGAAAGCTAAAGTTTTGACTCACAAGATCAGTCCTACCTCTAGATAAGAGAAGGGAATAGGGATTGAATTCAACCACATTAGCAATGATTGAATCAACCATGTCTACACAATGGGATGCCAAAGCTCAAGTGAACTTCCTGACTAGTAATCAATCATACATCAACATGACCAAGAGGTAGAAGCAATCCAGATGATACACAAGTGTCATGTTTGGATCTTCTCAGACAACCCCCTATGGGTTATGTCTTCTTTTGGCTGGCCTGGTGTAAATTCCTTTATAGAAGTGAAAGTGGCCTGGGAACCTTGGAACTTGTGTCTCACATCCAAGTAAAGGAAATCTGTGTCTTTAACTTCTGAAGTCTCTGCTGACTCTGTACAGTCAGTATCAGAATTTCAGCCATGTAGCCAACATTGACACAGCACATGATATGTGCCAGGTAATACGTTAAATAGTACAAATATGAGTCTGCTAACTCATCATGGCAATCCTTTTAGTATTGATTTATAGTATTGTATTTGTCCCCATTTACAAATGAGGAACTGAGACAGAAAAGTTAATTGGTTGCCTGATTTGTGTATGTGTTTAGGTGTAGGTGAAGGGAGAGAAAGGAGAGAGAAACTTCTTTGGACTTTTTTTTTCTTTTGTCGGTTGTGGGGCTTGAACACAGGGCCTGGACACTGTCCCTGAGGCTCTGGGTACTCAATGCTGGTGTTTTACCACTTGAGCCACAGCACCACTTCTGGTTTTCTGGTGGTTGATTGGAGATGAGAGTCTCATTGACTTTCCTGCCCTGGCTGGCTTTGAACCACAGTCCTCAGATCTCAGCCCCCTGAATAGCTAGGTCACAGGCCTGAGCCAACAGTACCTGATTAATCTCCCTATTATAGCCTCACTTACTTTCCTCTTTGCCCCCTGCATGCATCATTCCCTAGCAACCTGTAATCTGTCCCATACTTGTTAAATATTATGTAAATAGAGGGCTTTTTAGGGAAGCTAAGAATTTTTATATCCTTCAGTTCAGCTGTTTTCACAACGCTCCATACAAGATCATTTTTCAGAGAATCAATATCAGATAAAAATATCACCATGAAATTATAGATTTTTCCAATTGTTGTTCTCTCTGGAAGTCAAGACAGCTAAATTTTGGTAATACCATCAGTTTAGGGGAAATGAAATTCTGGCTTCAGGGGAAAATATTTGACATATCCCATAATGAGTTGCATAAAACTGAGAAAATAAAAATATAATGTGCTTGGAATGTAGTGTTGTAGCAGTGGACCTACTTAGCATGCTAGAGAGCCTCGATTTCAATCCTCAGTACCAATAAACCAATATATTAAAGTCAAGTACAGCATCACACACCTGTAAGACT